ATGATATCATCACAGATGCTTTGCAGCCGAATAATTTTACTCAGATACCAACGCCACATTGTAGCACTCCAACTCATCATGTTGATAACTCAATTGAGGAACCAGCAGGTGCAAAGAAATTGAACTCCGATCGACAAGCTCAGACTAATGCAGTAATTGGTGGCAATAATGTGTTAGACACACAACAGTACGTGCATATGACGCCGATTCCATCTACTTCGGCTGCCACACAGTTAACTGGGAATCGCAAAATATCGCGTAATCGCACCGAAGGAGCTGCGGCGCCTAAAGCAAGCCCCAAAGCGACACCTCCACCGCCACCACCCACAAATGTGCCCTTCCACATTGGTCCACAGGAGTGCATAGTTTGTGATGAAAAGTTACAGCTAATTAAATTCGAGCCGTGCCAACATCAAATTTCTTGCGAAGAATGTGGCCTGCGTATGAAGAAGTGCTTGCGGTGCGGCGTGCAAATAGAGCGTCGCATAGCTGCCGGTGGACGTGTTATAAACAGTTCTGATCAGACGCGCGTGCCCTCAGCAGATCGTTTGCGATATCTGGAAAACAAAATACAGGAATATGAGGAAACACACTACTGCAGCATTTGTATGGAACGGACGCGTGATGTCGCCTTTTTGTGTGGTCATGGTGCGTGCTCACGTTGTGCGGAAACTTTGCGCACCTGTCATATGTGTCGCAAAACCATTCTTCGAAAAATCAACTTATATTAGAACAGCTTCGAGCAAACTGGCAACGTATACATACATATATCAGTGCGAGCTGAGGAAGCTGGTATTCTTGACAAGCTTGTAAATTGTAAATAAATAAAAAATGAAGAGGAAAATATGAACAGCAATCATATATCCAGTGTTGATGCTAACTAATCGATTAAAATGTTGAGAATACCAACGAAAATCAATATTAAGGTGACGATAATAACCGTTAAAATTATATGTTTACGATTATGTTTATGACTACGGTGAAAACCACTATTATGATTATTATTTATTTCGAATATACATACAAGCAAATACGTAGTCATATGTACAAACAAGCATAAATTTTAGATATGTGTTCTTATTGTAATTTGTTAACATATTTCATTGTATTGCAATATCAATGGTATTCATTATTCTTTTACGAATTCAGCATAACGTAAAATATACATACGCTCACATACCCTACACGCATAAAAACATGGATAGAAAAATTAGTGGTCGTTCGCATGGTCTCATAAGACCAAATGTTTGTAAATTAAATTAATAATTTAAAAAATCGAAACAATTAAGTAAAACTATTATTCAGATCACACATTAGTGTCCACGTATACCAAAATTAAATGTATTATAAATAAAAAATAATAATTGGAATTTTTATTTAATATGGATCTAAATTGTATAATAATTTTAAATAACCCGCGAATTTGGAACGTGGACCCGAATACCGTGCTAGGTCAGCATGATATTGGGTGTCAATATCTATTCACCACAGTCGGATCTACGTAACCGTAATGGAAACGGATTGGAAAAATAATCAGATTCTGTTGTGCCGGCTTGAAACTTTCGCTAAACAGTTTGTTACTTCCACTTAGTTCGCAAATTTTGGGTCATTTCTAAATCCGGGTTCACTCTGGTTACGTGTCAACCGACTGTCGTGGGAACAGATGTATTAACAAATCATGCGGTAAGGACTTCTTAATTAATCAGATTTCTTCCTTTCATCTGGTATAAACTAGGATATATAGTTTTGTAGTCCACTTTGAATAAATAAAATATATTGTAATTAAATTTTTTTAAGTGTATTACATATATAACATACATATATTCGGTACATGCATACCGAATGTTATTGTTGCCCCAACACTATCAGCTGTTTCTATTCTTTTGATAATTTTTCCGAACAGCTGATTATAAAACAAAAAAATTATTTAAAATGAATTCGGTAATTGTCTTTAGTATTTCGCAATATTTAGCTCGAAATTTAAAAGTGCTAAATTTGCGGCAGGTTTTAAAATTAAAAACAATAAATGGTATTCAAATACATAATAATACAAGCATAAACAACCAAAACCAGAAAAAATGGAAAAACGAACCGCAACATTTATTAAATGCGGCTGGGCAAGGCGATGGAAATCGGAAACGGCATAAATGGTCAGGTTATATGGCGCCTTCAAAAATGGGTGTTATTGTCAGTGGTGCATTCTCATTCGGATTTTTCGGTAAAACAAAAGACGACGAAACACCAGAGGACAAATTGATAACTACTATTAAACGTTCAGTATTATGTATACAAAGGCAAGAATTTGATAAAGCAGAACAAATGTTACATCTAGCATTACGTATGGCTCAAGATTTGCATAGTAAGGAAGGTGTTACCTATATTTATGATGTCATGGCGAATCTTGCTATGGAGCGGGAACAATTCAAAAAAGCAGAGAAATTGTTTACTGAAGTAATGAAAAGATTGTTCAGTGAAGGTTATGGCGAAAATAGCTCCCAGGTATTTTCTACATAATCGATGTTGTTTGAATTTATTTTTATATATTTCTATTAAGAAGTAAATTTAGTAAACCCTTTTTAGGTGATGCATATTAGCGCCAAATTGGCTCACATGGCTCAATTGCAAGGAGAGCTGGACAAAGCTATGCAAGGTTTTACATGGACTTTAAAACGCATCGAGGAACATATGAAGCAAACTCCGAATGACAAGGATGTTCAGGAACTGCTAGGACTAACGAAAAATTGGTAAAGCCTTTTTATCTGCAAAAGAAACTTTTTAATGTTAAATTCTTTACTCATTAGGTTCGGTCAATTGCAAATGAAACTAGGTAAATATGGTGATGCCAAAAAATCGTTTCAAGAGGCTTATGACTCATTAGTTGAAGTTTACGGACGAATAAACGAGGAATCAATAACTATCCTGAATAATCTCAGTGTGGCGTGTGTTAATGTAAGTAGTGCAAGAATTCATTAGAGAAACGGAAATCAATATGTTAGGGATAAGGGACTTCGGCCACGGACTAGACCGATTTCATACATATATATTCATAATGAGGTTCAGTTCATAATATATCCATACGCGGTTTAAAATCAGCTGGAAAGTGCGAAGTCATTATATCGTGGGTATTTGGGTTGTTGTAACGGTTACCTAGTCCCCGCTTGGGTGATAAGTTATAGTTTGGTTGTCGTCGAGGTCATCTATCGGGAGGCCCACCCAAGAAACGAGCTGTATCGACGGAGTCAGACCATAGGGAGAAGGGTGTTAGATGAGTTGGGTTCGTTGGGCATGCAAAGAGTTGGTTAGTATCATGCGGAGACTAATTGCACGCAAGACATATGTTTGGAATATCGTGGTCTATTCTAGATAAGTAATAGTTTAACCTGCTACAATATCCAGAACGAAGTTGCGCGAGGGTCACTCGTGATGTATTTGAGTCACGTCATATACATTTTGCATTACTCAAGTATACTAGGGACCATGTTTCCATGTAATTTTATGAAGATGACTCACACACTGACCGACATATTCGACTTTAAGACAGCGAGTGTAACGAAAATCATTATAATGTAAATGGGAGCTGGGGTAATTTATTGACCGATTTTATCAATTTTAAGCACAAGTTATTAGAAAGAGGCGCTCTCTGACTTTTAATAAGATAACTGAAATTTGTAAATCTTTATATTAGGTATAAGAAAAAATCTCCGAATTTCTTCAGTAATAGGCGCTGTGGTCCACATATCCGTTATCTGGAGGTTTGAAAACTTACTATTCAATAGATATCATATGGAATTTAAAATTGCGTTATATGGGAATAAGGCACACGTTTAGTTCTCTTCAACATAGCTATTATATTATATGAAATGTTAACGGGGGCGGGGTCACGCCTTCTTTTTAAAAATGTTCAAACCACAGATGCCTCTCCCAATGTGATTCGTTGTACCAAATTACATGTGTGTATCTTATTGTGAAGTTTAGTTATTGCACTTTGCAGGTTGTCGATTAAAGGCGTTTTGTGGGCGTGATAATGGTCCGATTTCGCCCATCTGCAATACCAACATTCTCCTGTATACTTAGTTTCATCAAGTTGTCTCAGTTATTACATAAATTATCGCTTGCCCAGAGGCACAGACGGACGGACGAACAAAGAGTCACTCATATTTCAACCCTTCTCGCCATTCTGATCATTGATATATTTGTATATACTTATGTATATGTAACTCTATAGCTATCTCAATTTAAATGATCAAATATTTGAATAGTAAGGGTGTGTTCGAGCTACTTAATAATTACCGCAATACTTCAACCCTGTTACTAACTTGATACCCTGATACTCAACTGATACTTCGCAAATAATAAATTATATCGAACATAAAATTAATATTTATTACAAAATTCATTTACAATTCCTTCTCCATCTAAGCTCGCATTTAAAATTTTTATTTTGCGTTTGTTAATACTAAAAATATCTAATTTCAATTTAAACCAAAATAACTTTACCGGTAAATCCTTTTAGATGCAGTAGCATATATACTTTATTGCCAAACTACAAATTTTTTTAATTTACATTATTGAAACATTTATTTTTTTTAGCTTGAGGAATATGAACTGGCCAAGAAGTATTTAATGGATGCTTTAGAATTGGTGAAAGAATTAAAGGATAATGCACAAGAAGGCATTTTGCGAGCTAATTTAGGGTTAATTTATCTGCGGGAAGGTTTAATAACAAAAGCCAAAGAAGCTTGCTCGCTAGCTTGGCGGATTGGCAAGAATAGTAAAAACTTGAACGCGATCGAACAAGCCGAATACTGCCTTAATGAAATAAAATCGTTCGCCCAATAAAGAACTACATCGATACTATTGCCGTTTTATGTCAATGTAGTTGAATACCATTGCGAATAAAGCTGTCCTGTGACAAATAAGCTAAGTGAATTACTTGACTTAAATGTAATTTGAACAAATCTCGACTATACTATTTATTTTAATAAATATTTACAGTGATTAAAAAAAATAAAATTACGGTAAAAACAATTTATTTATAATTATATAATTATTTGAAAAGTTTTTGTTACTTTGTATTTTTGCTTACAAAAAAACGACTAACATGTTTTAGAAATTTATAATTCTTACTCTAATTTGGCGATGAATATCATTAAACCAACGCCGATAAGCATAGCTACAATCTCTTTTATTGATTGGCCCAATTTTGTTGATTCCTCCAACAATTCGGGAAGCACACTCACAGTTGCGATATATATAAACCCGCCTGCTGTGAATGGTAGGACCCATGCCGTAGAGCCATCTTCACCACTAGCCCCCAGTAGAGCTAATGCAGTGCCAGCAATAGCGCCGAGTGCAGTTACTAATTGCAGCATCATTGCCTGACGTTTGGTACAACCGGATTTAATTAGGATGGCGAAATCTCCAATTTCATGAGGTACTTCGTGCAATAATATCGTAATTGTTGTTACAATTCCAATACTATTTCCGGCCAAGTATGACGCGCCAATAGCCAAACCATCAGTAAAATTATGGGCAAAATCAGCAGCTAAATTTAAATATCCAGTTATTTTTACCTTGTTAGTTTCACTGTCATTTTTAACAGCTTTTCGATTTTCCGACTTTTTAGCATCAGCCTTTTTTGATGGTTTCGCATTTGTTTCCTTTGGTTGCGAATGACTATGACTGTGCCCATGCTCATCACCTTTTAAAAGCCTTACCAATTTCTCAACTGCAAGAAACGCAATAATTCCACTCAACACCCATAGACCAACTTTCATATCATGCCCATGTTCATGGTCATGACCATTACTGTGACTGTGACTATGAGCTTCTCCATGAGAGTGATGCTCATCATGACTATGTGGATGAGTGGAATGTGGAATAAGATGTAGAAAAGCGTCGCCCAATAAACCACCAGATGCAAATGCCAATATAATTTTAAGACGGGGCTTCATTGCTTCACTATTGTCTAAGCGAATGGTGTATAGTAAGACGAATGGCGCAGCGCTAATAAGCAATGTAGATCCAATAGAGTGTATCCAAATACTTGTCATATCTAAAATATAAAACGTCTTTAAATATAATTATACGTGACAAACAGCTTACCTTGTGGGACTTTAGCCTTCTTCTGGTAATGCTCATGTTTATGATTCCCCGTATGGTGGTGGTGATCATCTTCATGATCGTGACTGTGATCATCTTGTGAATGAGGATGATGATGGTCATGATGGTGGTGATGATGATCGTGATGGTCGTGCACTGGAACAGTCTCTTTTGGATCGAAGTTTTCATTCGCCTCTCTTGAATACTTGAAGCTTGGATTATCACTATGACCAAAACTAAGTGATGGTAGTGAGAAAATAATACCACACAATATTAATCCTAGAGCAATTTTACTTAGGCATTGCCCCAAATTGCTTTGTTGGCCAATTGTTGCCATTATTTTATAATTAAATATAACGCAGCAGGATTATAAAACTAATAATATGTATACTCTCCACGTCACATCACAACATTAAGGCAGGTGCCGGTCTGTGGATAATTCTCAACAGAATTGCCATACTATTTTACTATTTTCTTTCAGCAATGCTCCTTTACAACACCATTCACAGTATAATGCTTTAAGGCGCATCTCGACAGGCAATTACCGATTGCTAAAAATCTGAATTGCTAGCAATATTGCCATTGGAGACTGCCCATTGCTAATGTTTAGCAATTGATGTTCAAATACATTTCATGCTATACAATGCTAGTAGTGAACTGTCATTTTGATGGTTTGACAGAGCTGTTTTCATTTGCACACAAATTTTGAAGAGGCAACATGTACGTGCATAGCTTTGGTGATGAAAATACAAACATATAGTTAATATATTACGTATACATAAATATCAATTATCATATTTATTTATTGAATTGGTAATAAACCGTTTTGCAACAATTATTTAAGTCTAAAAATATAAAATCTTATTTTTCAAAATACATTTGTAGAAATGGCATCCTTCACATACATTTCTCCGAGACCGTAATCGTTATAAGATCTATTTTAAACATATCGCGATAACGATTATACATTGAGTTTTACGATTTTCTTCACCAATAATGATAAATTTTAACGAATTTTTGAGCAATAAAAAAATTAATATTAATTACGTACAGCTATTATATCTGATTTATATTTTTTAATTGCTCAAAATAAAACTCACTTTTGATCAAAGGTGAAGTGAACATAAAGATTATTTGTGATTTTTATATGTTTTTTTTGCTAAGAAATAATAATTATTTATGATTTATTGTAAAATTAATCGAAATTAATCATTAACGGCGAAGAAAAGCATAAAAATGCGAAATTAAAAAATCATCATGAAAATGCTAAGATCGTCGAAAGAGGATTAATATGACGTTATTTGTTTTTTTGTATGTGGATTCTAAATGCTTAATTTTTTCATTTAAAAATCGCAACAATAATCATATACGGTCTCTAGAATTCAAAATAGCCGATATTACGTCGTTTATATATTAAATTAGTAAATATACTCGTTAATATTTTTCTTTGACTACTACAATACTTATTAAACTAGAACTTATTTTTTTTGATATTTGTTGGCATATTTGTTATTGATTGAAAACTTTGGAAGAACACGCTTTTAGTAATTGAAATTATATATCATAATGTAGTTATATTGTAATGGAGGACGAGCACGGTACCAGAACAAAATAGAATCGACGATAAATTGCCTGCAATAAATAGACAGCGAAATTTTAAGTTGCCAGAATATTCGAGTGGCGATTTTGTTAATGATGTATAATAAATCGTCTACCGTGTAAGTGTGTGTTTACATTGGGACTTTTTTGTAATCCAAACTGGTTTTTTGTGGGCAAGGGGACGACGAGGAAAGACGAAGGAACCGTGTTACTCGTGTTTGGGTGGCACGCTTTGTGTTCTTGTTCGTAACAGCTCGCTGCTACCCTTTTCAGCATTCCTTTTCACTTTCAAATTCTTTTGATGGTTGCAAGAGCGCTCGGTTTTAAATGAATATATACTATTTGTTCAGAAATTTGAATTCACTCTAAGTGTCGCCTAGCCAAACTGTTAAATAAAAGTCCCAATTCAATGGCTAAACGCTTGTCTTTAATTCCATTCCAACAACTTAATCCTTTCCTACTCATTATCCGAGCTTAAAACTTCTTTCTTATATCTCAACTGTCTGCTACACAATCCAGCAGCCCTTCTACATATAGTAGATTTTCAACAAAACTGGCAACTACGAATTCGCTGTCTAGCGAATTCTGGTAATTTATCGTCGATCCGAATTTGTTCTATCATCCGTACCATCGTCACACAATCTTTGATATAATTAAAATAATTCTAAACATCAAGAGCACCTTTTTCGGACGAAAGAAACACTGAATAAATGTAAAAATCTACATTTAATAAATATTTTTTGATAGATGTTAATAATTGCTGTGACATATGATCACCCTGTTTTTATATCGATAAATGTGCATTTGCATTAGTGTCATATTCTCAAATAATTCGAATCAACAGAACGCGGGTTCTGCGTGTAAACGTTCAATTGTTTTAAATATTTGTCCAGTGATTGAATTCTTGTTCATTATTGTTAATTATGAGTGGCAAAAGTGTGTCTAACCGGTATCGTACAAATACAGCGTCAACGGGGGAAATAACACCAGTTATGAATGGAAAATCTAGACTGAATCCAAGTGGTCTAAGGCATCGGGTTGTACATAAATCAGAATCTGGTCACAAAAATCATTCGGAAGATAAATATGGAACTAAATCAGGACTATTCAATAAAGTATTAAGTGACGATAATCATCTGAATACACCTCGAATTACTCCACGTTCGACTGCAATTAATGCATGTTATACACCATCATCACTATTCCGGAATGTGATGTCGACACCTTTGAACAAAGTACGCACTCCATATTCAACTACCTCCGCAGGAAAATCAAAAGTAAAAAGTATTGATTCGGCTTCAATAAGTCAAATCGTAGATGACACAGAGATAAGCAATCTAACAGTAGCAGTACGGGTGCGCCCTTTGAATGCTCAAGAGTGTTCTCTGGCTAAAGTGACAAATGTTGTACGTGTTTGCGGGAATGAGTTGACTGTTTCGGCCGGCATGACTGCTGATTGTACAGCAGGCCTAACACATTCCTTTACATATGACCACATATTTGATTCTACAGATCCCGATAATGAATTTTACGCAAATCAAGATGATGTATTTGCAGGAACATCGATGCCTTTAATAGATCGAGCATTTCAAGGTTATAATGCGTGTCTTTTCGCATACGGCCAGACTGGATCTGGAAAATCTTATAGTATGATGGGTATTGAGGCTTTAGACGATGATGCATCTGGCAACAGCATCCCACATCCAGATGCCGGTATAATACCACGTTTTTGTAGAGAACTGTTTAAGCGTTTAGAAAATATGAAACAATCAATTCGTGCAGAGATCGAAATAAGTTATTTTGAAATATATAATGAGAAAATACATGATTTGCTTAGTGTTGCACATTCGGAAGGCAATTGCAGTGTGGGAAACGTGCATATTGCAAGTACACCAACATCAACAAACGTCATAAATCGACCTGCTTTGAAAGTGCGAGAACACCCTATTTGGGGCCCATATGTAGTTGATTTAAGTATTCATCCCGTAGATTCTTACGAAGCAATGCGCAATTGGCTTGCCGTAGGTAACTCACAACGTGCAACTGCTGCTACAGGAATGAATGACAAAAGTTCACGTTCTCATTCGATATTTAATATTGTTTTAAATTTGACTGAGATTAGTGAGGATTTGTCGAAAAAGAAATCGGATGAGACTGGTACACGTCAAACTCGTCGAAGTAGGATAAGTTTGGTTGATTTAGCGGGAAGTGAACGTATTTCGATGGTGGGCTCAAATGGTGACCGCATACGTGAAGGTGTTAGTATAAATAAAAGTCTATTGACATTGGGCAAAGTAATTGCTGCATTAGCAGATTCAAAGAAAAACACAGTAAATGGATCGGTGTTTGTACCATATCGGGAAAGTGTACTTACATGGCTTTTAAGGGTAAGTATCCCTACAATAATTACAAAATCCTATGTCATTACAAAAACTGTTTCAGCCACACTTTTTTTTTAATTTTCCCCAAAGAAAATGTTGGCGTGTCATGGGTTTTTTATTTGTTGACCATTGAATAAAGTAACATTGAAGCTAACAAATACACTAATTTTGTAACCTCTTTAATCATGTCGTATTTAAATAATTGGAATATTACCGTGTCACATTCCATATCAATTATTTCCTTTGCGAACACATCTATAAAGTTTGCTTAATCGGATTTTTTATTAAAATATTATTATTATTTGCATTTTTTCGGCGTCATTCATGTAATCCTTCTTGGGCTATTAAACAATAATTATTACAAATATAATAATGATAACCTCATATTGGTTATAATACGTTATTTGTTTGTTTAAGTTAATGGAAAAAAGGAAGCAACGTGCCTGCTTCCATATACCAAATACTTAGTAGATTAGATAGGGTCTGTTGTGCCCTTCCCTCTTTTAGGGGTTCACAAAGGCGCAGAAATCTGATCATCATGTTGAGCAGGTGCTTCTTGAGCAAAAACTTACTATAAATAAAAAAATATAAAGAAAAAGTATTAAAATATAAACAAAATATCGGTTGTTGTTGTATTAGTAAAACCTTCGTTAAATCGTTTTGAGATATGTTGGGGACAACAGGCTAAATCTCTAAAAGTTTGCGTTCTTATTCAATATTAAAATGGTCAAAATTGTTGAGTTTCTTATTGCTTTGAAATCACGCACTCTAAATATTTTTGCAACCGTTACAATAAACACGAGTTTGCAATAGTAAAACACAACGCAACATGACAAAGTATTTGCTTATTGTATATGGCAAGGGTAAATAAGGAAATTTTATGGTATACATATTGTTTTTCACGATTATAACTTTTTTGTAATATAATGTAAACAAAGATAAACAAGAAATGGCATATACCTTGCAGAGAATGTAGGGTGGCATGTGCTTTTGGAATGTTTCTCAATTAACGCATTACTGTTGGGTTTAAAAATATTAACAAGCCATATATATAGAAAAACGATCAAAAAGACAGCATCCTTTAATAATGCTTATGAAATTCAGCTTTTTCATGAAGAATTTCGTCGTTTACCATTAGCAAATTTTTATATATTAAGGATTGAACCGAATATTTTCGAAATTTGTTTTAATCAATTGGCAAAAATATATAAATAAGTAAAAATCTGTGTAATTTCGTTAAAACTTTTAATAATATTTGAAAAGTACTTGACTAAATGATTGGCGCATAAATGAATAGAGGGGCATAATGAAATAGACTTGGAATACAAGTGATATTGTAGTGAGGCATACTCAAACTTTCGTGTATCTAATTAAACGGCATAACTTTTTTGATTTTTCAAATTTAATTTTTTTTTTGTCAAGAGAGCAGAGTTCAAACATTGCCGAGCAAAGACGGCTCAAATACATATTATTAGTAACGTACCTTAACTACATATTGCATATCTATCTAACGAAAGAAAATTTTATAAGTTAGACCCGTTATCATTTCGTTTTTAAATAGCATAGCACTTATATTTTTAAGAGATAACAGGATAAGAATCTTATCTAACACAATAAAACACAAAGGAAGCACTAAGTACATATGAATGTGTAACCAGATATCATAATTTAAAGCGTTCTCCAATATCAAATGAATAGTAAATACTTGTCAATTCCATGTTATATGCTTTTTGGTGTAGTTGGTATTCTTATATAATTGTACTTTACACAAAAATATTTTATCATGTCCCACAAACACGATAACAATTATCTTTTTAAACTGCTCTCAAGCACACTAAAAATATTTATACTCTGAACAGGGTATATTAAGTTACCACCCAGAAGGAAACGTCGAAGATTAGCATGACACGCGCTGGGTCGGTTTAGCTATATTCGTCTGTCTGTATATATCCGCGAAGTAATCCTTTGCTTTTTAAGATATCGATTTTTTTTTGCACACGTCTTTTTATCCACAAGAAACTGCTCATTTATAAAAAACTGAACGATCAAAACCATATTACTGTAGGGATTTTTTTTTTTTGGCGAGAGATCTTTAGGAAATTTGGCGTGGATTATTGTAAAAAATAAGCTGCAATCTCCGAAGAAATTATTCAGATCGGACCACTATGGCATATATCTGCCATAAAAACTAACCGATCAAAATCAAGTCCTTGTATGAAATCTTTTGTACGTAGTTTATTTGGCAAATGTTTTTTGTGGATACAATGACAATAACAACAGCTTCTTCGTTTGGCAGTTAAAAGCATTGAGAATTCCTGAATGTTAACATTGTTCACTGGTGGCGTATTCTTCCACTTCTGTAACCGCTAATTAACATTTACGCCTTTATATACCTATAAGTGTTAATGAAGACTTTTTCCTAAAGGTTTTGTCTTTGCCGAGCATTGTAATAAAATCGGGATGTGTTCTTGTACTTAGTTTTAAGTTTTGGTTTTAAGAAGGATCTTGTAGAAAACATAATAACAATTTTTAACTGTTTCAAAAACTGTATTTTTTTAGTAACAGCACGTGTTATTGTATTTTATCGTTTTTGTCGACTAAATTAAAATAACTATTTTGGTCAAGAGTGCACATTTATGTCCTCTAAAAGCCATGATAACGTTAACAATCACAATTGAAGTTAGAAATTCAATATTATTTTATTTATAATTTAACACTCAAACAAGAATTTCATTCGATCTAAAATGATAACGTTGTTTGGCCAACAGCTTGACTGCATTTCGTAACTTACATTTGCAGCTTTGCGGCACACATTTGCATGATTTCGCTTTTGGTTTGCCCCTCAGTGATTTATCTAAAAAAAAATTTTCACAAATAAGTTGACGAGACAATTGAAAAAGTTCTAATAAATCAATTGAATTACTTACCATTCTTTGCACTCTCATTAAGTTGTCGTGCTTTATTGCCTAGTATTTTTTGAAACATATTGTAACTAGGTGTACAATTTTTTTAAGTCTGTACAAGTAGTAAAATTATAGTATGTATATGTGGACGCAACGGTGGTGTTAATTAAAATGACACTTAACTCTTCCTGTTTTTATACTTATACATATTTGTTATTTGCTTTTTACGAGTGCACTCAGCTAATTTTGCGGTCGCATTGTTTTTTCATTAAATTTTTTTCAACCTAACCACAAATTTTTTCTGCCTGTGTGCACATAGATTAAATTCGTTTATAACGTTTAACCACAAAGTTCTTTTTCCCATATGTGTCTGAGAATTTTTATATAAATTATATTGAAAACTTGAAGCTATTAGAGTTTGAATAATAAACTAATAATTTTGGTAATATATAATTTTTGGTCAACATAATATCCATCTACCGCAATTAACGCTTTCGAATAACTTAAAGAGGCTGTTAACGCTCATTTTAAAACGGCACATATTACTCTTGAATTAAACTGCCATATTAAGGGCTAATTTCGGACTAACATAATCTAAGTCGTCCATATAGAAGTTAAAATTATTCACACTATTATTGTTATACACTGAACAGGGTATATTAAGTTTGCCACAAAGTTTGTAACACCAAGAAGAAAAGATAGTGGACGGAGACTATAGAATATAAGGTATACATATGTATATAAATTATCAGCGTGACAAGCTGAGTCAATTTAGCCACATCCGTCGTTCTATATATAGCTGCTCATTTGACGGAACCGCCGATATCGGACCCCTATAGCACATAGCTGTCGTACAAACTGAACGATTAGAATCAAGTCCCTGTTTGGGAAACTTTTTAATTTGACAAGATATCTTTGCGAAATTTGGCATGGATTATTGCCCAAGACAACGGACTCTTCGAACTGATCGATCAAAATGTAGTTCTTGTATGGAAAGTTTTATAATTGGGAAAGGTATTCACGTTTTTTCTTGTTTTTAATTTGTATAACAATAGCTCAAACGTAAAGCCTTGGTAATCTCTTAAGTTAACCTAAATTTGTTTAAGTAACACAAATCTTAATTCTGAATGACCACTTTCAAGCAGGAATTACTAAAAACAAGCCAGAATACAATATTTTTTAAGGTCGCTATAGGTTAATTCTAAAGATCATTGCAGCAAACAAAAAAATCTACAATATTTAAGATTGATTAAGACTTGATGGAAGTATAAACAATTCGAGAAACATTATAACCCCGCCTGGACACTGTAACTGAAATTATATTTATAATTATGCCTTTCCCTTCGACCAAAACTCACCAAATAAAAGTTTTATCTCACTCAATAATTGAAAGCATCTCAAGTATGGGTGTTATTATTATTCGTATTTAATTTGTTCATATTATATAATTACATAATCAACTTACAGATACAACATTTACATTTTAGTTATCGTTTTTTTTTTCAATATGTTAACTGTCAAAGCTATAAATTGTACACAAACATAATCAATAACAAGAAGCCATATCAAAACAGTTGACATATGCACATATTATATCATGTACTTATTTACATGTGTTGTCTAATATAGACAGATTTAATGCCTTTCCAAAATATATTGCGTCTATGCATTTTTTTTTGTAAATTGCTGTTTTTTTTTTCATTATTTTCACTTTTTTTTTTAAATTTTTTAATAGTAAACAATCTTAATTTGGAAGGTTTTAGTAATAAAAATTATAAATTATTTCATTTATATTGAAAACATTAACTTGCCTGATTCAGTCTCTCTCCTACAATTATTAATGTTTATTATATACTTGTATTCATATATTAATAATATATAAATATATAAAAAAAATCCAGTTTTTTTTTCATTAGGATGCAAATATGCAAAAAACATACGATTGCAAAAAGGAAATGCATACATCTGTGTGTTACTTGTTTTTGTTGTTGTTACACGTACTCGAACGTAAGCTAATGAATATTAATATATACTAATTATTTTAGCATTCTATCATTTATTGTGATTATTCCTTGTTTGATTTTCATATTCTTGTACATATGTATATGTATGTATAGAAAATACGGAAAATGGTAGTGTCATTGTTGTTGTGCTATAGAAGCTGGTAAATACATACTTGTACATATATACACACAAGCGTTGAAATGCATTCATAGAAAAATCATTTTTAAATCTTCACCATTATCCCTGGTACGTAATGAATTAATTTTTATAATATTGTTAATCGCAAATCTCTTTTTTCCATGTCCTTTTACAGAAAAAGGTCTACTGTAGCACGTCGTAAATATTCGGCACTTTTAATTATTTTGCGCTGCAATTCAAACTGTCGACGTTTGACAATGGCGAATTTGTCGCCCCCTTTATTGTCACTGCCTGCAACTCCTCCTCTTCCTCAACCTCCTCCTCATTTTCTTCCTCGTGTTCCTCGCAAATGCTGTCGTGATGCTTGCGAGACTCCCGTTTACGCATGTAATTGGTGAGTGGCCGCTTTTTTTGTTCCTTGCAGAACGGGCACTCTTTCTTTTGCGCCTTTACCGATTTCACTTGCCTGCATTTTTCTGTAAGAAAATGAGAAAAAAAACCCATCGTGAACTAAAAATTCATAACATTCATCTATATTATGCATATATTATATTAGGCGCGTGACTAAGTTCTTTGTTATGTGAACACGCATCGTCGGTTATTCGATGCTGAAATGGCAACTGAGGTTATTAACCGTGCAAAATCTTCAATTGGGGGCGCATGTGCAATAACAACAAGTGTCTACAAGGTCTTACTCAGATAAATATTTAAGTACCGAGGTACTTATCAGAACAAATTTATTACTCAAATTGGGCTACCGTCATGTGCATGGCGATATACAAAACTAATATCACTTAAATAATTCTTCTTCAAGTGCCATGCGTGATAAAAATATATGTGATAGGTGTGTGTGCAATGTGCTCATGATTTATTAAATATACAAAAAAAAAAACACTTCAATGACATTTAGTTTTGCATTTTTGAGTATATAAATGCTTATATTTGAATAATCTTGTTCGTTTAACTTATTTGAGAGATTTTGTAAATTTTAGTTGTTTCTAAGTCAAATTCTATCTTCAGATATATGTATTTGCATTGAATGTATATGCATATGTCTTAAGTCTAATATAGTATACTATACTTTACTTGTACTAGAACTTGTTTTTATGACACTATTATTTTCGCATTTGGTTTTTTGTTATCTATTTTTCACATGGAGCTTATACTTGCGTCTGTATAATTTCGTGGCTTCGATTTTTAGAATACATTACAAGATAAGCTCACAAGATAACATTTATCTGGTGCTTATAAGTATTTAGTTAAACGCAAGGGAACACTACCCGAACAGCACAACTTTAAAATTAATTATATGTAGCTTAATAAATTCTTATCTTAAACAAATAATAAAATAAAGTTTAAGATTAAATAAATCACGACATAACAGAAGAAAAAAACGTTAAATTCGGTTGCACACTTCACAAATAAAAAATTTTCCATACAAAAGCTTTATTTTGATCGTTCAGTTTGTATGATAGCTATATGCTAAAGTGTGCGATTCGTTTCGATAAATGAGTAGCTTCTTGGGGCGAAAAGAACGTGCGTAAACTGAGGATCTAGTTCGTGTATATACAGAGAGACAGACTTGCATTGCTAAATCCACTCAGCTCGTCATGCTGATCATTGATATATATATATTCTATAGGGTTTCTGATGTTTCCTTCCGGATGTTGCACACTTCGTGGCAAATTTAATATCTTCTTTTCAGGGTATAATTAGCGGTTATCTTAAGTGAAAGCGAGTGCATAAGTTCATAGCACCAACTAGTGTATAAAAGGTAAGTTTCAGTGCAAAGGGGAAAACCAAGAACTACATATACGAGCTAAATATTTTTTATCATATAATAAATATTTTTATGTACCCTAGTTAAGAAGCATTTTCGGAATGAATAAAGGCTTGTTTACAATTTTCTGTACTGTAACGTAATTTATAACCCCCTCCAATCTGGGCAAACGCTTCAGAATAAGATCGACTTTAAGTAAGGCGGGGTTTTTGGAGGTTCCTAAAAATTCACAAAAAAATGTCATTTCCAGGTTTAATATTGACGTCAAAGGCAAATATATTTAATCGCATGTAGCCGTTTAACGTAGAAGTAAACTTTACATACTTACATAAAATTGTTGGTCAGTGTTACAAAAACCAGGAAAAGTAAACTGGTTATACATACATACATACATACATATAATGTGAATCAGTTATTTTCAATATAAATTAATTTACATATTTATAAACAGGTCAATCAATTAAATAACGGATTTTTGAGTCAATTTATGTTTATTGAAATTAATATGTTAAAATACAGTACTGCGTAAAAAAGTTGAATACCTTTCCAAAAATTACTAACTTCTTATACTCTTGCCACCTGTTGCTACAGAGTATAATAGGTTTGTTCATCTAATGTTTGTTTGTATCACCTAAACCTAATCGAGATATATATCGGGTTATGTATACATATATAAATGATCAGGATGACGAGACGTGTTGAAATCCGGGTGACTATCTGTATGTCGGTCCGACCGTGTAAACTTGAGTAAAAATTAAGATATCTTGATGAAACTTGGTACACAGGTTTCTTGGCACCATAAGAAGTTTGGTATTGTAGATGGGCGTTATCGGACCACTGCCACGTTCACAAAACGCCATTGATGGAAAACATATAAATGTTATAACTAAGCACTGAATTAAGATATAAACCAGTAATTTGGAATCGGAAAATGCTTTGGGGAGGAGCATCTATGGTTGAAAATTTTTTAAAAAGTGGGCGTGACCTCGCTCCCTAAAAAGTTTAATGCATATATCTCCTAAACCGTTCGAACTATATGACCTAAATTTGCACTGAATAAATATTATAGACTCTTTCTTCGAAAATGTATGAAATTGGATGATAACTTCGCCCACTCTCTATATAACGGGTTTGTTATGAACTACTAAAAGTGCGATAAATCAATAACTAAATGCGTCAGAGACATTAAATTTGACACCCGGGATGGTACAAAAGGGTTTTATAACATACTCCGGAACTACTTGACCGATTTCAACCAAAATCTGTACATAACATTATTCTAACGATCCTATGTTAGAAAAAATTTAAATTCCATATGATTCTTACACATTCCAGTATACAAATCAAGACCAAAGAATTTACCGGGACAAAATTTTGCACAAATAGTGTCTTTGAGGTATACCATCTCAAGTCTGAAAATAGTATAAATCGACCATAACTGTTAGAGCCCCCACTTACCGAATATGAGGACCGCATTGCCTGGTGCTAACTTGAGATATATTAGGTAAAGTAAAAAGTTCGTTCGGTTTTTTATTGATTTTTCAAAAGATGATAACTTTGTGTACATTTGTCCGATTTAAGTCAAATATGCGCCGTTTTGTTCGTAAACTTGTTGCCAACGAGATGCCAACCTCATTATACCCCTCTCGTAGAAGGCTGCGTCCCTATTGGCAAAAAACTCGGAGAGCTAATTTTCACAGGCCTGGCATTGCTCTGATGGAACACAATTCGGCCGCTCTGGATGAGTGCTGCCTTCAAGCGGTCTAGTTGTTGGCAGTAGAGGGCTCAATTGAGCGTTTGGCCATAGGGGAGCAGCTTGTAGTAAATGATTTCTTGCGAATCCCACCAAACACGCCACCGTCTGGGCTGCTTCCCTGAGCTTTGACCACGACCGTTTGCGCTCGATATTGTCGTAAGTGACCCATTTTTCATCGCCAGTCACAATCCGCTTCAGAAACGGGTCGATTTTGTTGCGGTCCATCATGTTTTTTGCGTTAGTTCGTGTGGCACTCAAACATCGAGCTTCTTTTTGAATCCAAGGTTATGCAAATGGTTCCAAACGGTTTTCTGGCTTATCTTTAGTTCCTCAGCAATTAAATTGCTCGTGAGTGCGCGTGGTGCGTCTTTGACATCGAAATTACCGGAACGGAACCTAGCAAATCACTTTTGTGCTACACGTTAGTTTACAGTATCGGGCCCATAAACTAAATTAATTTTTTCAGCCGCTTTGGCTGCTTTTTCGCCTTGATCGAAGAAAAATTGTAAAATATAGCGAATTTTCTCTTTGCTGGTGTCCATCTTTGACGAGCGCTCACAACGTACTGAGTCAATCAATCAAACTGTCAAGGACAAACTTTAAGCGCGAATAAACACTTTTTCAGCGCCGTATAGTATGACATGATGCGACACGTAACACTAGTACTATGGACAATAACGCCTCTGTAATAAAAACCGAACGAACTTTTTACTTGACCTAATATTATTGCAATTTGGAGAAAGTCTCTTTCTGATAATAGTATGCCTGTATGTAAAAATGGATTTCATCGAGTCAATACTACCCCTAGCCCCCATATACCATATCGAAATATAATCCGGTTTAGCTCATAAGTGGATGTATTTTTCTTATAATGGTGCATTTTTGTGCCCAAAATAAATAAAATCGGATGAAAACTTGCTCTAGCCCTCATATAACTAGTCTCAGAATTTTCATACATTCATTTCCAACTTTCCACCTGACAAAATAAATATGTGACACTTTGATAAAATTAAATGAACAAGTTTTCTTAATTGAGTGGGAATATGAATGAAATGAATGAAACCTTATATTCCTAAAATAATGAATTGTGATCCTCTGGTTGACGTTTTAACAGCAACTCATTGTATTTAATTTAGCTTATTCAGTTGAGTTTATTTTTATATTTACTGATAGACAATTCTTATTGTAATTTCGAAACTGACGGCGACACATTTTTTTCTTTTCTAAAAATATTATTTTTTTGGTTGTGCTGTGTGCGCAATTAGATGGGCCTTGTTGTGCTGATAAGCTTTTTTATAGTAAAAAATATATAAATAACTATGCCTACACTGGCCAACGTATTTCCTTACAAACACTCACATACAGGTAAAAAATACATACATACCTATATACAAATAGATATATAGTAAATACTAACGATTGATAGGTAAATATTTCAAATTAAACACTTTTATGCAAAGGCGTTTCTCTCTGTCTATATTATTGTAAGTAGAATAGATTGTTTTAAATAGTTGCTTTTTATGTGATTTTAATTGACTTGTTATGAGCACAGCCTAAACGACCACATAGTGTGTCTGTTATCAACAGTCACATGCAATTGTGTGATTAAGCAGCGATTAAGACAACGTGTTTCTAAACTAAACAAATATTGATTTTGTACACATGCCAGGTTATATACATATAAGTATGTATGTGAGTGTGATTAAAATTTATATATTTTTAAATATATTTGTTTAATACTAAGTTTACATATACAATACATATGACATTCACTGAAATTTTGTAAAATATAGACCACATACATATACAGTTGTGTTCATGAAAATAGTAGTGTAACAGGGTTTATATATTTAAAGATCTTTCCTAACATACACTGACTTGGCAAGTCAACAAGCGTGATTATTTTGGTAGAATAGACACTTTAAATTATAAAAATGAAA